CCCAGCTTGAGGCCGTTTCCCCTTGGCCTGTCCCTTGTTCCCTGGCAGCAGAGCCCGACCCCCCCCGGCTCCCCCCTCCTGTCAGGGACTTGCAGAGCCAGGAGGTCCCCCCTGAGCCTCCTTTGCTCCAGGATGAGCCTCCCCAGCTCCCTCAGCCCCTCCTGCTGCTCCAGCCCCTTCCCAGCTCCCTTCCCTTCCCTGCACACGCTGTTGTATCCATTGGCTCCAAGCTGGACATTAACTAATTTCCATGCTTTTCCATGTTACACACGGAATATGTGCTAAAGCACCTTCTTCCCAAGCCTGTCCATGATTCCCCTTCCAGTGCAGGACCATTCACCTTCATGTGCTCCAGGCTCCCCTGTTGAGGCCCCAGTTGTTCAAACCAACCTGGGAACAGCAGATTTTTGAGCCGCCCGGTGCAAAAACAGTTAAAAGCTCCTTCCCTGAACCCACAACGTGCTCCTTGTTTCCAGCTGGATTAATTACTGGTCCGTGGGAGTTCGGGGCTCAAGCTACTCAGGGTCCTTGTTAAGGAGGGTTTGTGTTTAATCCACCGGGGAGACAATCAGCAGCACCGGCACAACCTGCTCCAGAGCCAGCACTGCGCTAATTAGCGCCCTAACGAGGCCTCACAGGGCTCTGACACGGGGTAGGGCACTGAGACAAAGACCCCTCGTCCCTCAGGGTGTGGCTGTGACCACCTCACCTGGGGGAGCCACCACCTCCACCCAGGAACCGACACCTCACCTGGGGGAGCCACCACCTCCACCCAGGAACCGCCCGGAAACCAAACATCTGATGGAAAAAAGGTTGGCACGTTCCAGTTTGTGCCACTGTCAGCTCTGGGAAGGGCTCATAAAACACCCAGGATGGAGGGTTGGAGGGAAAATGGGAGAAATATTTCCTTGACACCCTTTGGTCCTGAGTGTTCCTAAAGTTTAACATCAGGTTCGAGTGTTAACGGGACTGAGCTGATCCCGGTTCTACCATTTCCAATGGCCCAAAGCACAGACAACTGTATTCCAACACTATTCCAACTGTATCCCAGTGCTGGAAACAACAAAGAAAAGGGTTTCTGGAACAGAGCAAAACCTGTGGCTGGGAATTTCCATCTGAAAGAGCAGAAGAGTTCTGCTGACACCATCCACCAAGCACCCAAAAATCAAACATCTGCTGGAAAATTCAGCCGCACGTTCCAGTTTGTGCCATTGTCAGCTCTGGAAAAGGCTCATAAAACACCCAGGATGGAGGGCTGGAGGGAAACTGGGGGAAATGTTTGACATCCTTGGCACACAGGCTGTTGTTCCTAAGGTTTAACATCAGGTTCGAGTGTTAACGGGACTGAGCTGATCCTGGTTCTACCATTCCCAACGGCCCAAAGCACAGACAACTCTATTCCAACTGTATTCCAACTCTATTCCAACTGTATCCCAGTGCTGGAAACAACAAGGAATGTGGTTTCTGGAATGGAGAAAAACCCATGGCTGGGAATTTTCATCTGGGTCAGTATGTGAGTTCTGCCAACTCCACCCACAAACCACCCAAAAATCAAACATCTGCTGGAAAATTCAGCAGCACATTCCAG